TCCAAAAATTATGCCCTTTGTATAGCATCCTTCAGTCTTGCGAGACTATGGTAACATGCTCTGAATAGAGGTCTTGGAACAGCGTCTAGTGTGGCTGAGAAGGGCAATTCGAGAGTGACGATCCCTTCCACACTGAAGACAAATACAAGCTGTCCCCTTTCCAGCTCCCTGATTTTGCTGGTTTCAGGACTGCCTCTTTGCCTCAGCCTGCTGAATAAGTGTCTATTCAGATTTGTATAACTACGCAGCAGGACTTCAACCATTAAGTCAATTAAACCTGGGTAAATCAATACTTATCTAAGTACTGTTGAGTCAATGGCTCTGCATACATTAATTGGGTGTAATAAATGTATTTAGAGGCTTGTCTTTCTTGAGTGACATTGTCTGACAGAAGTCACATAACATGTTAAATGCACCCTTTTAAGACAGCTAATGCCTGACATGCACCTGGTCCAAGGAGCTGGATCACTTCTGATCCTGAAAGGAGAAGACGTCTCAGCTGTTGCGCATTTTCAGACATAGAGCTTCATCATTCCCCTCCACCATCTTGGCAGACATAATCAAATAATCCATCCACACATCATGAGGAATAGAGCAAGTCCCACCCAAGATATATTACTGACTCAGGCAGAGGACAAGATATCTAACCCCTCCCAGCCCGTTCATTGTACAGAAGCTGACAGGACTGGAATACTGTATCTTATTTGTAAATTTTTGACTGCAGTGTTCTTTTGAGGATACTAGGCTAGCTTAAAGGGCATAAGGCAGGCCATGTGTTCCATACAGTTGTGTCCTCCAATATCTCATTATCATTCCCCATCCCTTCAGCATCTGCCATTCTCCCTCTGCCTAATGGTGGAGCCAGGCCAGCTGTTGGCTTAGGCTGCTTTGCTGCCTGCCTTGTGTGTCTGGATCTGAGTTCACCAGCTTAGACCAAATTTGGACAACCTATGACCATGGGTGGCCTATGATCTGAGTTGGAGCTAATCTTACAGTGATAGGATGATATGGCTTTCTTTCAGTCCAAAGGACTGCCATCAGGCCTATCTAGCAAAGCCAATAGCGAAGGATGATGGCAGTTATGGTCTAGCAATATAGTAAAGTAACATGTTGTTGTTGTTTAGTCATTAAGTGGTAACATGTTGTTGTTTTTTAGTCATTATGTCATGTCCGACTCTTCATGACCCCATGGACCAGAGCACGCCAGGCCCTCCTGTCTGTCACTGCCTCCCGGAGTTGGGTCAAATTCATGTTGGTGGCTAGGATGACACTGTGAAACCATCTCTGTCATCCCCTTCTCCTCTTGCCTTTATATTTTCCCAGCTTCACGGTCTTTTCCAGGGAGTCTTCTCTTCTCATGAGATGGCCAAAGTATTGGAGCCTCAGCTTCAGGATCTGTCCTTCCAGTGAGCACTCAGGATTGATTTCCTTCAGAGTGGATAGGTTTGTTCTCCTGGCAGTCCAGGGGACTTTCAAGAGTCTCCTCCAGCACCAGAATTCAAAATCATCAATTCTTCGGCAGTCAGCCTTCTTTATGGTCCAGCTCTCACTTCCATACATCGCTACTGGAAAAACCATAGCTTTGACTATGTGGACCTTTGTCGGCAAGGTGATGTCTCCGCTTTTTAAGATGCTGTCTAGTTTGTCATCATAACTTACCCACACCTATTTCAGAGGTTCTTTTCAACGTACTTAGCATGCATGTAGGAGTGCAGCAGAGCATATAATGCCCCTGCTACAACTGCCCTAGCTGCCAGTCTGTTTCTGGGCCCAATTCGAAGAGCTGCTCATTACCTATGAAGCCCTGTATGGCTTGGATCCAGGCTACCCAAAGGGCCTTATCTCACCATATGAGTCTTTTTGGCACTTGATCATCAGAGGAGGCCCTCCTCTCTATCTCATTGGCAGCGCAGGCATTGTTGATGATGAACAAGAGATGGCGTTTTCTGTGGCTGCTCCCCGGTTATGGAATGCCCTGCCTCAGTAGATCACTCTGTCCCTTTCCCTTTTTAGGCAGGCTTTTAACAATCCACGAGGCTCTGAATGCCATTTTAAAGTTAAGATAGTTTTCAATGTTCACCTGCTTTTAATTATTAAATTGTATTTTAATTAGTGTGTTAGTTTATTTAACATATAACTTATCTTTTTAATTCTATTCTTTTTAATACTGTGAGCTGCCCTTTGGTTGCTGTTATCAGGAGAAAGGCAGCCTATGTACATGGCAAATAAGTAGAACACAGAGGGAAAAAAAATACAGAAGCCTTTTTGCATCATCCCAGAACTCTCAAGAGTGACAAAAATCTATGACAGGGCAATACACACTCTTAAGAGCTACTCTGAGCATATCCCAGGACCAAAAGTGATGATTCAGAACAAAGACTGGAGTTTGGTTCAAGTCTAAGGAAGACACATTTCTTAATCTTCACGACTGAGATAGCAGACAAGTGTTGTGTGCAGCCTAACAAATGCCATGTAAATGTTATAAGAACTGTGTCAGTGAAGGATCCTATTTCCTTTGATGATGGAATGGCCTGCAGGTGAATTTATTTTGGGAAACTGTCATGACTAACCAAATCAACAGCCAAGTCTCATTTCCACTGTTTGCATATGTGAATCAAACATGCTTGTTAATTTGATGTTTGGCGGCAGGATGAGTAGTCACAGCATGCAGTTACATTAAAGGTTAGCAAATAGTGTTATTAGAAAAATAAACTTCTCACCTACACACCCTGGGACTGTCCCGTAACCATTTAAAGAAGTATAGTTTCCTTTAATCAGTTACGTGAGCACTATTTCTCCCCTCCTCTAAATTAATGCTGACTTGTGAAGAGAGTTGCTGTACGATTTGCTGGTAATCATGCAACTTTGTAATGTTTGGTATCTTGTAGTGTCATATTTGCTCCCATTTCTTCTGCTTCTGCTTTCTATGAATAAATTAAATGTGCCTCTGTTCTTTCAAGAGATTGAGGAAGACATGCCAGATGATCTCAAAACAAGTTGTCACCACTGTTTATGATCAATCCCACCATACAAGCAGGGCATTTGACAGAAGCACCTATTTGCCTTCATGCTGTTTACAATGAATATCCCTTCACATCACCATAAATGCATTTACCTCCCCACTGCCATTTCTCTGACACCTTTTTGATTAAAAAGTATTCTAATGGATGGCCTTTTTGTGGCCTATAATGTATAAAAAGCTCATGCCAAAAAATTGTTGATTTTGCTCAAAGAGATTAATAGGGCAACCTCTTTGGAAATTGCCACCTTATATGGTTATTACTGTTGAGAATGAAGTGTATACATTCAAGGGAAGGAGAAACAATTCTTCCAAAATTGCAGGAGTCTGGCTAGAATCTCCAGGCCAGCATGGGTACTTCACATCTTCCATAGGTCAAGAGTTTGGTTCCCAACATGTCTATGTACTGTATGTAATTCAGACAATGCAGTCATGTTGTGACAGGCTTCTGTGCAAGGCAGAAGTGGAGAATCTTTTGCCCTCCAGATGTTTTGGACTTTGTGAAACCTCAGCCAGTATGGCCAAATTTAATTACAGGTCTCAGAATCACCCAGGTAGCTATGCTGACTAAGAGATTCTGGAAGCAGAAGCGCAAAACATGAGGGCCAGTAGTTGCCCAGTACACTCTATGCTCAAATTGTACAGATCAGAGCAGTATGGTTTTGGTTAAATATGATCCCCCCCCAAATAAATAAATATTTCAAATAAATATTCAATAAGTACTGTGCTGCTCATCATAGGCATCCTTCAGTCTCGAAAGACTATGGTTGTCGTGCTCTGCATGGAGGACTTGGAACAGCATCTAGTGTGGCTGAGAAGGCCAATTCGAGAGGGACAATCCCTTCCACACTTAGGACAAGTACAATCTGTACCCCGTCTAGCTCCCTGATTTTGCTGCTTTTGTAACTGCCTCTTTGCCTCAGCCTGCTGGGCGAGAGTCTCTTCAAATTGGGAGAGGCCGTGATGCACCACATGCCTCCAGGCTGAAGGCTCAGATGTCAGGGTTTCCCATCTGCTGAGATCCATTTCCAAGGCCTTCAAATCCCGCTTGCATATATCCTTGTATCGCAGCTGTGGTCTCCCTCTGGGGCGATTTCCCTGCACTAGTTCTCCATACAGGAGATCCTTTGGAATCCGACCATCAGCCATTCTCACAACATGCCTGAGCCAACGTAGGCGTCACTGTTTCAGTAGTGTATACATGCTAAAAATTCCAGTCTCCGGAAAGCTGCCTGAGAAAGGCGGGTCTTGGACTTACTGAGGCCCCTGTTGTTGTTGGTGCAGTGGTCCTCTCTCTGGTGGAGATAGCCCAGCCAGCCTCCTGTCCTGACATGGCAGCTCCACGTGGCAGCCAGGGAGAGTGCTTGGGCATGCCAGGAGGTTGACCTGGGAAGGTCTCTCTCGCTCTCCAGGGAGGGTGCTTGGGCATGCCAGGTTGACCTGGGAAGGTCTCTCTCGCTCTGTTAATCAACTGTTTATGCATTATCGTTACATTTTGGGGCATAAGAGTCACACATGGATTTTGGACTACGCAGGGGTCCAGCACTCCTAATCCCTGTGTTGCTGAAGGGAGAAGTGTAATAATATAAAGTTTTTGTGGGTTGTGTTGTTGTTGTTGTGCTTGGGCATGCCAGGTTGACCTGGGAAGGTCTCTCTCGCTCTGTTAATCAACTGTTTATGCATTATCGTTACATTTTGGGGCATAAGAGTCACACATGGATTTTGGACTACGCAGGGGTCCAGCACTCCTAATCCCTGTGTTGCTGAAGGGAGAAGTGTAATAATATAAAGTTTTTGTGGGTTGTGTTGTTGTTGTTGTTTGCTTTGTTCCAGAGACACCTTTTGCCCTAAACAGATTCTTAGGCTTAGTCTTGTCTCCCCACCCCCACCATCTCTAAATCAGAAAACAAACAAACAAACAAAGACAAATTACTAACGGGAAAAGCCTGTAACTTTTATTCAGGTCATATTTCTTTTTTTAAAAAAAAACGGGAGGGGAACTGGCATCTAGTATGAAATGCATGCAAGGTCATTTTACAAGTTAACAACAACAAAACATTCTAAGAGACCACATCCTGTTGGTTTACAATATAATATTATACAAACACATCACAGCTTTAATTACCTGGTTTAGTGTAGTGATTTCTACCACCCCTCCCCCCACCCTATGAAAAGATCCTATTGAACAGGACTTGATGATTCCCCAGGGCATTACTGGCAGGTAAGAGTCATTCATTAAGCATCCAGGGGTTACAAAAAAAAATAAAAGATCAATCACATTTATCATCAACTACTTGAAAATTTCAGATCCAGAGCCTTATCTACTGACATCATGGAGGGCGTAGATCATGAGTCCCAAGATGTTAACCTGAAGAAAAGTTCTGACTCCTTTAAGATACATCTATACAATGGATGTGGTTAACAGCAGAAGGCAAAATACTGATGGGCCAAAATACATTGGGAAGTCTTGGAACAGGGTTAATTCTGTTCCTAAGGAGGGACATTCATCACGTGGAGCCTCAGAAAGGATCCAATCCTGCTTCCAAAGGAGATCCAACCAGCAGTGAGCTTTTAGGACGAAAACTGATTCATTCCAAGGTGGTGTTCCTACACATAATTCTTGCTGGGGTAATCACTGCGGGGTTGAGAGGCAGCGGCTGTGTACCGGGCGCTGTAGTTGTTGCCTTCTTTCCTGGGGCAGTTGCAGCAGAGCAGCGCCCCTCCCAGGATCATTAAAGCTGCGGCTGCCCATCCAAGGTAAAGGGCGGCACCCAGCTCTCTCTTCTGGGGCTCCGTTACTAGCGGGTTGTAGAACTCTCGGATGATGGTGTTGGCTGACCAGCAGACGGGGATGAGGCAGAGGACGCCTGCTGTCACAAAGACGGCACCAGAGACGATGACAATGCGGGCCTTGGTATCTTCATCCTCCACACAGTTGGTGCATTTGGCTCCCACGATGCCAACCATCAGGGCCAGGAGAGCTAGGAGCACAGAGATGACCATAAGGGCCCGCGCTGTTTGGATATCCTGCGGCAGAGCCAACATTGAGTCGTAGACTTTGCACTGCATTTGACCGGTGCTTTGTACCACACAGTTCATCCATAGCCCCTCCCAGGTGATCTGAGCGGTCACAATGTTGGTGCCGATGAAAGCTGTGACTTTCCACATGGGCAAAGCACAGGTGACAATTGCCCCGATCCAGCCCAGGACCGACAGGGCCATGCCCATAATCTGAAAACCAGCGGAGACCATGGCTTCGGTGTAGACAGATCTGTAGAAACAGTGATGAAATGGCAATTAATATCCAAGCAAAGTTACTCTTAGTAACACAAGAGACATGACTTGTTATTTTATGGTGTATCTGTATAGAGGGAGGATGTGTAACATTTGAGGCAGAGATCTGGGAGATGTTTTTGTAGCGCAACTCCCAGCATACTCTATGTGAACTCTGGAAGACACTGAGTGTTGTATCTCCCCCTCCCCAAAAAAGTAATATTCCAAAACCTTTGGTTTGAGGGCATCCACAATTTCACGCGGTATCTGTACACACGTTTGTCCGCATAATACGCAATATTAAATGATAGGATTCTGTACCATCTGTTATGATAACAGCCACAAGCTTGAAAGGATCAAATCTAGCCTCTCTCAACCATGAATCTCCAGGTGATGGTTTTTACTTCCCATCATCTCAGTATCAACAATAATGGGAAATGTAGCACAATGTATCCAGGAAACCCATGGCTGGCGGTTTTTACTTCCCATCATCTCAGTGTCAATAATGGGAAATGTCGCACAATGTATCCAGGAAACCCATGGCTGGGAACCATTGTACAGTAGAAAGAGGTCTCTTTCACAATACATCCCAAACCTGGCTTCTCAAATGTATTACACCTCTATCCATTGGCTGTGATGGCTGTTGCTTCTGTAAGGTTCACAACATCTGTGGTCCCAGTTCTGCCTTATTGGTGTCTAGCACACTTGGTCGAGAGCAAGACTGAGCAACCTACAGCCTTCCAGATCTGGTTGGACTGCCACTCCCAGCATTCCTTTTCACTGGGCATGTCAGCCAAGGCTAACTTTCTGGGAACTGCTCTGCCTTATTGGTGTCTAGCACACTTGCTCGAGCGCAAGACTGAGCAACTTACAGCCTTCCAGATCTGGTCGGACTGCCACTCCCAGCATTCTTTTTCACTGGGCATGTCAGCCAAGGCTAACAGGAGTTGTAGCCCAACTACATCTGGAAGACCATACTTTCTCCACCCTGTGCTTGGTCTGATCTGACAAGGCTCCAGTTTAGTTCCAAAGCCAAGCACCCATGGAACAGCGGAACATGAGCAAACTTGGGAAATAGCAAACTTTCCATATGAGAAAAACAAAGAGATCTCACTGGCTAACCCTTTCACAGGCTGTAGAGCCCAATTGTACTGAAGGCTCCCCTCGCCAAGCCGGTTTCCCCTTGTCACTCCTTGGCAGTGACTAAGGATTAGTCGCACAGTTATACAACCTGTTTTTTCCAGCAAAACCAGGAGTCTACAACTTGCTCCATTGTCTATCCATCACTGGGGTTAAATATTAGGGGGAAAATCCCTTCTGGCTAAAGTGTTGCTTGGAACAAAGTCTTATTTACCAAACTACAGTTCATTCTTTCCCATGGTGTATGTGTGTATGTGGAGGGGTGTTAGGGGAGATTAGAACAGGAAGAGGGAGGAGGACCTTTCTCTCCACCTGGGAGACCAGTTAGTTCTTGTTTAAAAAGCTTCACAGGTGGCAAAAGTCCAAGAGTTGCAGGAGTCTTACCAACACTGGTTCCAACCACCACATCCCAACAATATGGTTGATGCTGTGTGGTCAGGCATGCGGTCAGGTCTACCTTCTGGCATTTACAGTTTTTGCTTGTTTGCTCATTTCTAGGGATCAGATAATGGCTAATGGGAAAGACCTCTGCACAAGTCCCTAGAAAACTGCTATCAGAGCAGTTCTTATTAATCCTGCCCCCCCCCCAAGCTTCCTAAGCTTTAAGAAAGACTTAAGAAGCAAGACTGTAAACTCACAGCCAGGCACTGGTTCACATGCCATGCCCACCTATCTATCCTCTTGACACTGCATGAACAAGCTATGTGCTCTCCAACTCACCAAGGGCCTCCTGTTGAGTACACAATGTAGTCTTTGCTACAGCTGTGCCTGAACTGGAAATACGACTTTATATTTGCCCTCAAGCTAGGATTTGCAAGCCTGTGGTTTAAAGCTGGGTTGTGATACTTCTTTAGAGATACAGAACGAACCAGAGTTTGCTGGCTCCGATGTGATTGCAATCCATGTCTTACACTAAAGAAAATGCGCATCCTTAGAAATTTAGAGCACACAAGGACAGGTGTGGACCTTGTCCTCGTAACATCAGTCAATGGAGCCCCACTATATCAACTGGACTTGGGAAATGAAGAATTAAAAACGCTTGAGCACAAATTTCTGGGGCCAGGAATCCCCAAAACATGCATTGTAAGAGCTCCAAAGAGTTATTTGTTTTTGACTACAACTCTCACAATCTCCCTGTAAGCAAGCCTGTGTTGGCTTGAGAATTCTGGGAACTGATTCCAAAATTATAAGTTTTCTAAGCTGTACTTTAAGGATGGGAGCTGTAGTCCCAGATACCTGAAGGGCTCCAGCTTCAGAAAAGGGTGATCTAAATTAAGAATATCTGTGTAGCTTTTGGAATTAAACAACTTGCATTTATTGAAGCAACACTGGAATACCACTGACCAATATATAAGCCCCACCTGAAAACTCTTACATATCTCAATTCCTGAAGTAGTCAATTCCTCTGGAATAGCATCTGGACTAGTCATTTCCAACCTTGGTTCCCAGATGTTTTTGGACTACAACTCCCAGAAATCCTAGCCAGCACAGCTAGTGGTGAAGGTTTCTGAGAGTTTTAGTCCAAGACCACCTGTGGACCCAAGGTTGGGAACCAGTAACTAGACATACTCTCCTAGAAAAGAATTGGGATTGATGGTGACAGCAGAACTTCACAAAGTTACTTTCCAGGGACTACAGCTCCTCAGACAACAAATAGAGAATTCTGGAAGTTGTAGTCCAAAAAGTAAACTTATCAAGCAGATGCTGTGGCAGATGACCTTGAGTCTTCCCAGGAGATAAGAGTTTCCATGCAATATTCCCCCCCACAACACAGGTAGGTGATACCCTTGCCTTTGGATTGTGCAAGGACCACACTGCTTGTCTTCTATGCTATCCCACATAACTCAGGAGAAGGTGAGTAGGTGATACTCCTGCCTGATTCAGACACAAAACCAAGCCCCTGACTCATCGGGTCATGCAACTCCCCTGTGCCCTAGTTGAAACAAAGCAAGCATGAGACAGTCGTTTTCCTCCCCCTCATGACGAAGAGGCAAGAATGATCTGCCTCCACATAGACACAGGGACCTGGTATAGCAGCACTTTTGCAATACGTGTTTGTCACCCTCCTTGGAAATGTTTCTAGCAGGTAACCAAAATACCTGCCCTGCGAACAACCCCCAAGAATTGCATCAACCACCTGCCCTGAGGTCCCGGAACTGTCATACAAAAGTTTTGTTGCCACCGGCACTTGGCAGCCCTGAGGACTATTTAACTATTTTTGGGCTATTAGACAACAGACAAGACAGCAGTTGCCCTATTGCTAAGGCTTTTATTTTTCATTGCCATGTCTTTCAATCAAGTTGTTCATTAGGGATTTCAACCTACCTCAGACTTTAAGGACAGGCTGCTGAAAAAAAAAAGGCCAAGGTGTGTAGAAATGTTCAGACCAGGATCTAAACAGTAATTCAGGGCCCGGCCACTAGAAACAGTTCCTTGTAGTTCAGTTTTATGCTTGCCTCCCAAAGCCTCCCCCCTCATTTTGATCCTAACTCCAGTGGATGGGTTCCAGGGACCTAGTGAAGATCTTGCAAGTCTAAGGTGTGACAATGTCTAGCTTTGCGTTACACGCACCACACAACTATGGCAAGACTGGAGTAAACACATGCTAGTAAGCTGTTGGCAGGAGACTCTGGGAATGATAGTCCAAAAAAGTAACTTTTCCAAGCTCTGACATATACCACTCTTCCTTGTCACTACAGGGCCATCTTCTCAGAGTAAAAGGAACAACTCCTTTTGCTGGTTAGGTGACACAAGGCATTTTCTGTCAAGTCAGTTTTGGCTTATGGTGACCATTTTCTAACTATCATGAGCAAGGAGCTTTAGAAGACCAAACTGCACCTGTGCCCATATCTCATGGAGCTGTTATAGTCGTGATGCCCCTCAAATGCTAGGTAAAGCCTCTGTTAGTCTTTGTTGCTGGTTAACTTTGAGTTAAAAACCATGTCATGAACAGGGCCCTGTCTTCAAGGTTATGATAGGAAGTCCAGTCTTAGGGGGTGGATTTCAAATAAATTCTCCCCAGCTTCCAACGCATGGCCAGCAGCATTTTCAACAACAGAGTCCAAAGGACAGGCAACATAACAAAGTTCCTCTAACATTTCCGTGCAGCTACACATTGATCAGAGTAGAGCTGTGCTGTGCGTGATGATTACTATGTACTGTACCAACTTCAGTCCTTCCTGGTTAGAGTCACAACCATGAGTTAAAGAAACAGATCTCAACTGCAAAACAAGTCAATCTTTAGTGGAAACTAGACCCACACCTTTGTCCAGATCTAAGGCTTGAGACCTAACCCAGAGTAAAGCCAAGGTATTTATGAAGCTCATTCTTTGTATCTCTTGCTAAATAAGGGCCGCCTGAGACAAAGACAAAAGCAAACAGGAACTAGCGAGTTTCTCAGTTGAAACTTCCATTCTTCCAGTAGTATAGTATCTCCTAGGAATCGTTCAGTATTTTAGGGGGTAGAAGACAATACTGTGTAGCACACAAATGGAAGAGGAATTCATTGCCCTGTTCATTGGTGGGGGGGAGATTGCCCTAAAACTGAGGGGAGTGCCCTCCCGCTCAAACCCTCATAGAGAGGGAATGGCTTGAGAGCTCAGCTGGACTAGCTATGGACCTGTCTGTGTCACCTGAAGCAGTTGCCCTACCTTGCCTAATGACTGGGGCATCCCTGCTGTACAATATTATTAACGTACATTGGAGAAGTAGTGGGAGAAAGAAGGGAAACTGAGACTGGCAAAATGAAACACAATGCATTGGAAGAGATCAAAACATTTAAAACTTTGATCTGGCCACCACAGGCATCACATAACTGACAGTTCAATCGCATGGCCTTTCGAGGGTGGGATGTATACTCCTGATAAGCAGCTATGCTATACGTAAGGTGTCAGATCAAGATAAAAATTACAAAATGCACTGGTGTTCTCAGCGTGTTTCATTTCAACAACATACAGTCGAACAACTGTTTCGGTGCCACTTGTTATGATGACACCTAGTATTTTATATTTTATTTGGGGATGTCCAAAATACAAACTGCACAGGCAAGTAAAACAAAGTACAGACCTACCCAAGAGCTGCACCCTCAGCTAGCCCTAGCTAACAGGAGAAGCAGGGTTGCGTGTACATGGTTAGTTAGGCGTTTTCATGCATTTTTCAGAGGTGAGTCTTGCCTGTGGATACACAGGTCTTGCAGTCTGAGGATGAAACTCACAAAAAGTGAACAAGCCAAGCTATGTTTTCTTATGCTAGCCGTATGTTTTTAAGGGATTTTCCAGAGACAAGAGAAGAGAAAAGAAAGGAGGAAAACAATGAAGACAAACAGTTGACAAGTTCAAAATGGGTGGCTTGCGGCATGTTGTGACTCAAGCAGAATTTGAAAACACATTTTTTTTTAGATTTAATGCCCCAAATTCCTCATCATTATGGCTACTCTTAGATTTCCACCAAATGCAAGAGACAAGATGGATAATGGGAGGTGGCAGAGCTGGAAAAAAACCTTACTTTTTGGATTCTAACTCCCAGAATTCCACCCCCATCCCCACCCCGGTAAGCATGGCTTCTGGTTAGCATGCTTGAGGAGTTTTTATGGGAACTATTAGATGGAGAATAGATTGTGGACCATGTTTTTTCAAATTAAGCCAAAGCAAAACACAGAATCCATTTCAAGCGTGTTCTGCTTTTCTTGCTGTAGGCTTATTCCTTGCAACTTTAGCATTTATATTAACAAAGCCCAACAATCACCTTCCCAAATGTGTATTTTTATATATTAAAATATATATAGCCTTGGGTTCAGTTTACATCATCTGCAAAAAAAACCCACTATTTTTTTTTTTAAAACACCAAAACCCTAACCCATCCATTTTAATACCATGTTCAGCCAGGGAGAGTTCCCACAACCTTTATGGCCACACCCTGAGTAAAAGGAACACATTTCTCTCCAGCTTGCTTGGCAGGCATCAATGAGGTTTAATTTAATCTGGTCCAATCTGAACTAAAATGCTCCCACTTTAAGAGACCGGTCTTAAGGAATCAACAGTCCTTATAAGAAGATGGCTAACATCTATGTCGTCATAATCATCCAAGACAAAGGCAGTATTTTCCACCATGAGGCATACCAGTGAAACCACCATGACTTTCTCAGTTAGAGGGTGGGGGAAGCCCAACTTTTGCTTCCCTACAATTGCAAAGGGCCCCACCTGCTGGATCATCACTACAGCCGAGAGTTTCAGTCTACACCTGGCTATTTCAGACAGATTCGTCATGCCTGCAACGTTGCAGGTGTATGTGAATTCGCCGGTTACATGGATCCTCTCTAAAAACACCTCAACATACGTAGGCTCATGGGGGCAGCCTCTCACATTTCTCATTCAATTCCAAAAAAACAAGATCTTGCAAGCTGGAAACTCTTGGAATCTTTCTATATTTAGAAAAAAATGCTACAATATTTTAGTGGAAGAACAAAAGTGTTTAAAAATTCTAAACATTTTCTTTTCTGTTCTTGCTATATGTGGCAGCCATAGGCAGCGTACAGTATATACATTCCGCAAATCATTACAAGATGTGAAACACAAGCAAACAACGTAGTCCCTTTATCTTAAAAGCCTTGCATGAAGGTTTCACCATGTACTCTATATTTTAACTCATAAGTCTGAAGAGGTGGACGATGATCCGTGAAAGCTTACATTAAATCACAGCAGTTGGGCTTTAAAGTGCCACAACGTCTTTTTTTAAAAACTTTTGTTTTGTGTTTCTTGTTGAAATGCTTGGTGACTAACACAATTACAATTCAGAAAAATTTCCTAACAGAAAAGGAGGTGAAATTAAACCAAAGCTTTGGGAAAGTTGCCCGGATTACAACTCCCAGCACCCCCCAGCCAGCGCAGCTATGAAAAATAAAGATTTCCCGGCTTCGAAGTTCACAATCTAACACCAGCATCGTCTCCTGCTTTGCCCAGAAGTCCCATATTCCCCGCCTCCAGATACTGCACTGCATCAAGACCCTGGTGACTAGATGGAACTAGAAAAGTTTGCGCGCGCGCGGGCGCAGCTAGGCTTTAAAGTGCCATTCTGCGACGTGAGGGAAGCGGAATCGTTGCTTTCTGCGGAGTGGAAGCGCGAATTCCAACATTACGCGCCCGCGCACCCACCTTCCCTCAGCCGGATTCGCAAGTTCTTAAGGACAAAGGGACACGCGGTCAGGAGGTGACTTGGCGCCAAAGAACAAAGGCTTTGCCATCACCGCTCCACTTTCTGCTCGTTAGTTACGTGTGTGCCTCAGACGGGTCCGGGGTGGGGGCGACGACGGCGAGAGGGCGGAGCGACCGTCGTTACTACCCGTCCGTTTCCCCCCCTTCAACCGAAACTCTCCCCCCTCGTCTTCTTTCAGGTGGAAAGGGGGGGAGAAGAAGTTTCTATGGGTCTCACTCGCCTCACCCAAACTGCGAGGCGCCGCCCACGCGCACCTTGTTGGCATCAAGGAGAGGGTGGGGAGGCAGAGAAAAGGGCGCTGACCCATAGCCGTTACGCTCTTCCTTGCCCTCAAGAAAACAACCTTTTTTTTTACTCCCCAAGTTAGCGGGTTGGTTTTTCTTCCCCCTTTTAAGACGCAGTTTTATTCCCCGAAGCAAGGACGCGCGCGCGCAACTCCGGGACTCGGATTGATAGCCGCCTTTTACAGAGCGACGCGCGATTGAATTAAGATTACTCCAGACCACAAGCCTTGAAAAATACTCTTGTCGCCGACTACAAGTCCCAGAAGCCCCCCCCAATCTAAATAAACTACGACTCAAAGAGTTGTTAAAAAAGAGAGAAGGGAACTTTGTTCCACGCTGCGTTTCGTATTAAGGAGGAAGAGCGATTAAATAATTAGTAAATGCGCTCTATTTAGGATCTTTGTGCGAGTTCCGTCCGCGCTTCAGTCTCTTAACAAGGAAGGACGGCGATCTTCTTAAGTTTACCTTATACTCGCTTTAACATCCCCTCACAGATTTCTCAACTTGTTCTTTTTTTTCGAAATTAGGTAAAGGGCAAAGGAGGAAACTGATGCTACATCCTAGCACCGAGCACTGTGGAGAGGAGACCCAGATATATATGGTATATATATTCCATGAAGTAGATTAAGATCCTGGGGACCCCAACACCCACAATCAAACTTTTCAAAAGCCCCCGTTCTTTTTTCTACCGAAGAACCCACCAACGCCCCACCTCGCTCCAATCTCTTCTCCTTACCTTTGAATCGGACCCGAAGAGCGCAGGTTCACGTCGATCAAGAGGATCTACGGCGCCACGAAAGGAGATAAGGTGCAGCTCTCCGTATGGGACGGCTGGCTATATACCCCTTATTTCCACCCCTCCCCGGCCTTTTCCAAACCACACCCCTCTCGTCCCGCCGTGACGTCACCGGCAGGTGAAACTGGCGACCTGGGACAGGAAAGGGGGGGGAGGGTAAAAAGAGAGGCAGAAAGACGACCAAAGCCGAATCGCTTCTCCCCTGGACGGGAGAAAACCAGGTCCATCGCAGAACTCAAGCGAAAGGGTGGAGGAAGTTCGTGAGATAAGTACCGACTCCATTAGGCACATTAGTCTTAATACTGTAACAGAAACCAACGCCCTAGAAAGTGGAGAGAACTGAAAAATCTGTCATACAGTGCCATCGGTATTATTCACTGGACAGCTGTTGCAGATTCGAGGTATTCTTTTTGGTTTGCTGGTTTGTTACATGTATAAGCCGCTTTTGCTTTAGTTAAGGCGACATACCTGTCTGCAATCCTGCGAAATAGGTCGGGGTGAGAGCGTGTCATTGGCCCAAGGTTACCCAACCAGTTTCACTAGGGTAGTCCAGCGCTTTAGCCATTACAGTCATCAAGTCTCTTTCTGGCCTCTCAGAAGGAGCCTCACCAACCATGGGTGACTCTGGGGATGAGTGATGGAATCAAAGAATCATGAAGTTGGAAGGAGCCTATAAGGCCATGGAGTCCAACCCTCTGTTCAATGCAGGAATGCAAATCAAAGGATATCTGCCAGGTATCTTTTGAATGTCTCCAGTGTTGGAGCACCCACCACCTCTTCCATACTAACAATTAGGAAATTTTTCCTAATACAGTATTCAATCTAAATCTGGCTTCCTGTAAACTGAGCCCACTGGGGAGTGTCCTGCACTCAGGGATGATAGAGAACAGATCCTGCCCCTCCTCTGTATGACAGCCTTTCAAGTATTTGAAAAGTGTTATCATATCTCCCAGTCTTCTTTTCTCTGGGCTAAACATGCCCAGTTCTTCCGGTCTTTCCTCATAGAGCTTGGTTTCCAGCCTCAAGATCATCCTTGCTGCCCTCCTCTGAACTTGTTCCAGTATGTTTGCATTCTTCTTGAAGAGCAGTGTCCAGAACACAATATGAGGCCTTGTTGTTGTTTAGTTACAGTGGTGCCCGGCTAGATGCTTACCCCTCTAAACGACGAAATCGCTTGACGATGACTTTTTTGCGATCACAGAACGATGGTTCCTATGGGGGAAATCCGGTTTACGATGATTAGGTCCTTGCTTCACGAACCGTTTGTTCGCAAAACGATGACTTTTCCAGTTCTGCAAAATGGCTGGCTTCCCTTCACAAAATGGCTGTTTTCCGGACACAAGCTTCACAAAACAGCGATTTTAAACAGCTGATCGGTGGTTCTCTATGGGCGATCTTTGCTGGACGATGTTTTCAATGCATTCCAATGGGTTTTTTCCGCATTACGACGAATTCGCTGTACAGCGATTTTAACAGAATGGATTATCGTCGTCATGCGGGGCACCATTGTATTAAGTCGTGTCTGACACTTTGTGACCCCATGGACCAGAGCACGCCAGGCCCGCCTGTCTTCCACTGACTCCTTGAGTTTGGTCAAATTCATGTTGGCAGCTTCAGTGACACTGTCCAACCATCTTGTCCTCTGTTGTCCCCTTCTCGTCTTGCCGTCACACTTTCCCAACATCACGGACTTTTCCAGAGAGTCCTGTCTTCTCATGAGATGGCCAATGTATTGGAGCCTCAGCTTCAGGATCTGTCCTTCCAGTGAGCACTCAGTGTTGATTTCCTTCAGAATGGATAGGTGTGTTCTTGCAGTCCAGGTGACTCTCAAGAGTCTCCTCCAGCACCACAATTCAAAAGCATAAATTCTTCAGTGCTCAGCCTTCTTTATGGTCCAGCTCTCACTTCCATACATTGCTAGTGGAAAAATCACAGCTTTGACAATGCAAACCTTTGTTGTCAAGGTGATGTCTCTGCATTTTAAGATGCTGTCTAGGTTCGTCATCGCTTTCCTCCCAAGAAGCAGGCGTCTTTTAATTTTGTGGCTGC